TGTAAAAGATTGTAAGGTAGATATATAAAAATGTACAATATAAACTAAAGCATACACTAAAATAACAAAACAAAGAGTTATAGCTAATAAGCCAATAAAGGAAACAGAATAAAATAACTGGGTTGATGCACAGGAAGGCAGAAAAAAGATAAAGAAGGGAACACAGAACAGATGGAACAAATCTCTCCATTTTCCCTTTGTTCTTTTGAGTTGCTGAAAGAATAGATCTGGGCTGTTGATTCTTTTCATTTATATAATTATACTAAGGGTACTTTTGGTTTTGAAGAACATGGCTTTGGCACTGAATAGAAGAGGGAAGCTGAGACAAAAGGAAACTAAATTATTTTGCACAATAAATTAATTTGCAGTTGCCTGCTGATAGCTTGAAAAGGAGGAGCTATGGGATGGAAGGACTAGAGAAGTCAGAAGAGAAAGAAAACCCCTCAAACCTAGAGTGTCCCATTAAGTGGGAGCAGGCTGAGGCCTAAGGTGAAAGAGGCAGTAAGCTATTTCATTTAATGGCTGATAAACATTAAGATAAACAAAAATGTTAAATGACTTCCTGTTCTTTGTGGCAATCATATTTCTTTCCCCCCAAACTTCAGTACAAATCTATTGAACTCAACAGTCTTGTGTTAATTTTTCCCTAGGGTGATGGAAGATGAGGAATGGGATCCAGTTTCTGAGGCAAGGCCCTGCAGAGACACCATCAGCTACAGGAGCTGTAGGGAAAGAAGGTCTCATGAACTGAGTCAGAAACAGGGATTCAGAGCTGGAAGTATGGGTGACTGCCAGGAAAATCTAACTATTCCGTGTTATGTGGGTTGGGGATTCTTTTTATTTTACTTAGATTTGGAAATCAAAGGAAAGGATTGTTCCCAATTATCTAGGATGTCTTGCCGAGTTCTGCAAAAATCTCCCACTAGCTTCCCTGCCTACTGTCTTGCTCCACTCCAATCCGTTCCCACACATAGTATCCTGAGTGATTTTCCTAAAACACCAACTTGACTATGTCACTTCCCTAGCTTTAAACACTTCAGTAGGTCCTCAGTGCTCAAAGGTATAGTTTAAGATCTATAACATGGTCAAGTAGACCTTTTCTGACTGTGCCTTGGCCTACACTCCAGCCTCATCCCTTACATGTACCCTCTTTGACTGTCTATGTCTACTGCACTGGATATCCAGTTTCTCTGAAACACCTTGTGTTCTCTCCTGCCTCTCAGAGTCTCAAATGCTACTTAGTCAACAGCAACATTTTTCATCATTCCCCTCCATCTCTTTGAGTCTCTGGCATTTTCACCTGATTATCTTACTCCCTCAGATCCAAACTGAGATATCATTTCTTCTGGAAAGTCTTCCCTGACACACCTGGTTTGAATTTTTGAACTCTGAACTTGTCCTATTAAAGTACTCATCACCACGAAGTAATTGCTTATTTGTCCATATTCTTTACTAGGCTCTCAACTCTGTGGATGTAAAGACCTTCACTCCTAGATTACAATGGAATCCTCTGTGCCTAAATCAGAGCTTGGCATCATGCAGTCAATACCTGGGTTAACTGATTATTGTCTGAATAATGAAATCAATGCAGTTTAAATTAATTATAAACATCTGAGTCATCTTAAAACTCTGAAAGTTCTATAAGGAAACCTGTATGGAGATGAAGAGGCACTCTAAGAGATTTCACAGTTCTTACTTGGCTTTAATCATGTAAAATTTGTGATTCTGGCAGGAGAACCACTTTATAACAACAAGCTACAAGACCTGACTGGCAAGGTAGGCTGATACTAGGAAGATAGGCAGAAGGAACTCATTGCCATGGAATAAATGAAACACTTCCTTCCATGGAAGAAGCCTGGGCAATCTCAAAACAGCAGACCCAGAGGTTAGTGCTGGGTGGATTTCAATTACAGCTAAGACTAACAGTCACTGGGACCAGCGAAACTAATATAATCTCCTGTCTAATACTGTCAGTTTTTTGGATGGCCAGGAGAAGCTCCCTCTCAATCTTCACAGACCTCTTACTTGATCCAGCTATGTGTGTAGTTCCGAACAAGAGACTCTGATTTGATGTTGCCTCTTCTAGAAATCCTTCCCTGATCTCTTCTTTCACCCTGCTCCGCTCATCACTCCTGGCTGGGCCACAGTACGTTTGTTCCATGCTCTTACCACATACATGTTCACCTATATCTCTCTCTTTCTTTCAGAGCAGGGACTGAGTCTGTTTCATCTCTGTCTCCCCAGAGCCCAGTATAGAATCTGGCACAGAGTAAGTATTTGTTAAATGTTTGATGACCTGAACCAAGATGGATTCTTTAAAATGCCAATATCATGTCATAGAAAGTAGGAAAAAAGGCTTGAAAACTGGTCTAGATAAAAGGGAACTAAAGAGGCAGGAAAACTGAATGCAGCAGATGATTCTTCACTAGACCTTGGATTCAGGAAAAATCAGCTATACAGGACATTATTGGGACAACTGGGGAAATTTGAATATGGACTATATATATCACCTAGTAGATTTTATTAATGATAAATATCTTGAGTTTGATAATAGTATTGTGTTCTTTGTTTTTAGGAGACACAAACAGAAGTATTTAAGGATCAAATGTCTCATTTGCAGTTAACTCTCAAATGACTCAGTAAATAAAAAATAATACAGGCACAAGTATATGTATATATATACTTAGAGAAACATAAAGTAAATATTGCCAAAAGTTAAGTGGTATATCTTGGTGAAGAGTTCATGGTTGCTCATTGAACTATTTGTGTAATTTTTCTGTAGGTTTAATATTTTTCAAAATAAAATGTTGAAGAAAGTTCCAGCTTAGGTAAGGAAGCTTATCTGCTATATTGGAAGCATGTGGTCAATTAGGCCAAGACCCTAAGGGGTAAGGTAGTCAGGAGACAAAGCTTGAGGTAAGGGTGAGGGCTCTAAAGGGGGTACCTTTAGATGTCAAACTAGTGGAAGTAGGTAGCCAGGCAGAAGGGCAGGAGTGATAAACAGCAGATCCAAAGAGCAAAGCAGAAGACAGCCCTTGGCAGAGGTTTGGGTACATAATCAGAAAAGTGCAGGAAATGAAAAATGATCAGAGGGGGAGCAAAGGGTCAGCAAGGCAGGCAGGCAGGCAGAAAAGACAAGTGAAGGAGCATGAAGGAGTTGGAAATCCAGGCAAAGCTCTGGCCTCTCTGGGCATAGTTAAAATACTAATTTCAGGGAAGCCAATGGAAAGTAGCCAAACTACAGAGCACCCATAATGAGAAATGAGTTAGAGAGCACAGGAGGGTGCTGAGAGTTGGCTGAATTTATTTGAAAATGATGGAAGAAAAGGGGGCCAAATGTCATCCCCTGTTCTCTGTCTATTTCCTGGTTGGTGAGGCAAGAAGGAAGAGTGGCTAAAGCTTGCTTCCCTCATCTGGTAGTTGAATCACAGCAAAGCAAATGGAACAGACTTCTCAGAAAGGTCACACTCCAATCCCAAACGACCTTCAGGATTGCAGGCCCATGATGTATGTTCCTACCAGTCTCTGCATGCTGCTGCCAGTATGGTTCTCTTAGTTCTTAATGATGCCATTCCATTTAAGAACTCAGAGTTCCTGTTTCTTTTCAGAAATCTCTGTTTAGACTGGCAGCTCCATGAAGCTGAATATTCTACCCCTGTCATGTATCTATTCCTCCAGAATCTCAGGGAGGCCTTTTATTACTGAAGGGCAGCTCAGAGTTCCTGAATACCAACAGTAGGGATATTTAACAACCCACCTTTGTCTGCACTTATTTCATCATGCCCAGCCCAGACTCGCAGGGCAATATTCTACAAGAATGCCCTTTTCTGTTCTTGAGGATTCTGATGCTGAAAGCAAGCAATCTACAGCAGGTGAGATGAAAAGAAATTCCCTCTGAAGAAAGGGATCAGCAAGGAGTCACAGATATGTCTGCAGGGACCGGACGGTCTGGCCCCAACAGAGAGTATTTGAAATTCAGTTATCTTTTTGCTCTGCATGCAAGTCACATAAGCAGAGCTCATTTGGGTACAGAACTATAAATGGGGGTTGGGAGGGGGCACTGAGTAATCAGTCACTTCCCATCACATTCTCCAGAAGTGGCCCTTTTATCAGAAGTGATTCTGCTAAGACAATGATAAAAAGACAACAAGGGAAGGTAGTGTGGGAACAAGACTTGTGCAGAAGGTCATAAGGAGCATTTCTCAGACTTAGGGTCCCTATCAACAGACAGCATAGCCCCAGCACTGACAGCACCACCTCTATTCCTGTGGCCAGGACAAGGCCCACAGGACTCTCTTAAAGAGCCTTTCCTCCCTCTCAATAACCTACCTCACTATGTTTACAGCCGAGCTTTCCTTCTCTCCCTGTCGTTCTGTGTCCTGGGCTCCAGATTAGAGTTGCCAACTTCCCCACTCTAACCCCGCTCAGAAGTGCTTAGTCACTGATCTGGCCACGTGGCATCTGCTTTCCTGTTGTGGGTCTGATATGTTAACTAAGAAAGCTACTTTCCAGCCTAGTTAGAAACAGCAGCAACTTGAATTGACTTGCTAGGCTGGCAATGCTGGAGGAGTTAGGGCCACATGCCAGAGGAAAGAGCGGATAACCAAACATCAGGAAGCCAATTTCTCAATCTGTAGCCTGAGACTAAACCTTCGTGTTGGCAAGGCCTTGGCTGCCAGAGTCACACTGGAAGATGTCCTGTAACTTCATGTGGCTCCACATACAGTTTGGAGCTTAGAAGGGGAATTGTGAACCACCTTTTACAGGGATAAAAATGCAGAGGAAAAAAGGTTAATCCTAGAGATAGGACACAAAATCCTAGAGAGAGTAAAGATGAGAGGAGACCAAAAAGTCCCAGACATGGCAAAGGTAAGGGACAGAAAACCAGATCTCTGGATGGGTAGGTGCCAGGCTAGTAGGTCTGAGGGCTGGCCCTGGGCCCTTGCTGGTGCTATTAACCCTGTCCCTGTTCTTAGCCCAGGTCCCATCCCAGCTCCTACCTGGTAGGTACCTGTCGTGGCTGTGGCTGTACTCTGTGGTGGTGAGTGACAAATGAGTCTGTGTAAAGGGCTGGTTGCCAAATAGATTGTCACTGCGAAGGTTGTGGCAGAGTTTTTCCAGGAAGCGGAGGACGTAGGTGATGCTGTTGACTGCTGGGAGATTGAGCGTGTGCTGCTCCCGGTCAAACACGGCTGTGGAGTTAAGTAAACAGGGCTGAGCATGTCAGCCTGGTGGTGCAGTGTGGAGCTGGGCAGGAGCAGTCCAGCCCACTGCTTGCCTCAGGCTTAACTGGTTACACAAACGCAATCAGTGCCCAGGTTTCTTCCCTCCCTCTCCTTTCCTCCCTCCCTCTAGGGTTTGATTTTTGCCTCCAACTCCAAAGGGCTTGCAATAATGGGAGTGGCCAGGCCAGGTTTGTTGCACCCAGGGCTCTGGAATGATTTTACTCAACCTGTGAAAACAACTGTGAACATAATTCTATCTGTTCCATCAGTTGGCTGTGTCTCCTCCAGGAAATCTGTTCATTTAGGGTTCTATTTCCATAAAAAATGCCCAAGAACAGAGAAGCTGGGCAGAAGAGAATACAGCTATTGTCAGCAATGGTTTGGGTGCATTATTCAATCTGTGTAAAGGCACTAGAATTTCAGCAACATTTGGAACTATTCCATGCTTGGTTTTATTTTATTCCTTATCTATTTCTATTCAAAAAGCATTTGAATGATCCTTAAAAAGCAAAAGGCCTCTGCGTTTGTCTCTGAGGGCAGCATGGAAATAGGGAGGGAGATCACTCTCAGGAAGCAATTCCAGGGTAGAGGAAGAATCCTAGAAAAGGTAAAGGTGATAGCAGCCAAAGAGAGGCAATAGGGAAAGCTGGGTTCCTGCAGGCAGCCACACAGAAGCAAAGGAGAGAACAGGCATTGGCCTTGGTCCCTGAAGGAAAGGCAGGCTTGATTTCCCATGCAGTTCTCAGCCTTCTATAACAAGTCCTTCCCTGCCTGCTTTCATGCAGCCAATTGCTCCCTCATGTGGGCTTCCACACCACCCTGTACACATTTCTCATACATTATAATAATAGCTGTCACAATTAGCTTTTCTGCCAGGCAGAGCCTGAACCTGTCCTTCTTTTCTCCCTTTCCCTGGCAATAGCCTCTGATGTATAGTAATGGCTCAATAGATGTTTGCTAAAAGCATACAGCTGTGGTATCTATGGGTTTTTCCACATCATCTGGGTTTCCTGAGGCTGGATATTGTAACTCATTAGAAGGAAGGGGCAGGAGATTACAGAGTATCATACAGTTAAGATAGAAAGGCTCTATATATCAAGTCTTCATTGGTTTGGTGGGTAGAGAATAGGGTTTTGGACTTGGGAAAACTGAGACAGACCAGGTACAGAAGAAAAAGTGAATATCCTCAGTCTCAGTGAAAACAAACAAAAAAACTACTGCAGTTGACTCAAACTCTACATTTGGAAAGAAAGGGAGCTCCTTCCTACTCTGCTCAGAGATTCAACTCCCCTGTATCAGGGCTGGGTTAGGACTGGGTAGCTAAGGAGTTGAAAGAATGAGAGAAGAGCTCTGTGTTCCTTGAAGCCAGGTGGGAGGCTATGGCAGCTTGGAGGAACTCTCCAGTTGCCTCAGTACAACCCCCCCTCTGGATTCTTTCTTCTGGAATGCTCTTAAAGCAACACACTCATGTATTATCTGTAGGCAGAGGCCAAGCAGGTAGACAGGAGAGGAGTCTGTTGAGAGGCTCAGCTGAACAGAGTCTGTGTGGCTATTCCACCTGGCAGAGGTATGCGGTAAGACTTAGAGGGGCTCTGGGAATTGAAAATGAGGACTCTGAGGAGTGGAATACTTCCACATTCTCTAGAGCCTACAGGTGTGAAGCAGGAACCAGGATGCCTTGCCAGAAATCAGCCATCTGAGAAGGCCTGTCCCTCTGACTAGGAGGCCAGGCCAACCCAAGGGTGCTTACCTGAGATCACCTCACCACCATGGCCTTGTTTGAGGAAGCTGAAGACGGTTTTCTGGTGATAAGCACAGTCAATGCAAGCCTGGACAGCCTGCTGCAATACCACGGAGGCACGGGCTGGCCCAAAATGGTCAGGGAGCTGCTGGACCTTCTTCTTATCTAAATGGGGTCCTGTGCTGCCGTTCTTGTTCAGGTAAATACAAACTGCAGGAGAGAAAGAGTCAAAGCAATTTAAAGAGTATGCAGAGTAGAGAAGTCAGAGAACAGTGCTCTTTTCTATCTTTCACACCCTGGGCTCTGGTTCCTACACGATTCTCAGCTGCTAAGCTGATGAAACACTGTGGGAGGGGGTCGAGGATGGCTGTGCCCAGCTGCAGCCAACCCAAATTGCATGACCAGAGGCTTTGGGAACACAGCCTGCTGGGAGAACAGCCCAGACCAAAAGCCAAGGCACAGAACTGTACGCTACCTTCTGTGCACTGAAAAGAAAATCTAAACAATTTCCTGTATGTGTGCACTTTCACTTTTGGTACTTGCTGCCTCACATATTCTTTGTTTCTCTTATATGTGTAAGGCCACAGCAATGTTAGCAAGAGTGTGCTTGTGTGTGTTTGGCCTTGGGCTTAGAACAGTCACACCACTGGTCAGTTGCCTTGCTTTCTTGTTCTGGATCTTGCAGTCCCTGTGTTATCTTCCACATCAACACTCAACCTCAAAAAAAGTAGCAAAACAGGAAAACATTGGAATAAAGAAAAACATGAAAAGGGCCTGAGGGTCTTATCTATATATTTGTTTCAGTAGTTTCCCCTGTCAAGAGAACTTGGCACTCTCCTAACTGCAACCCTCTGCCTTGTACTATGCGAGCGTAGGGGGCAGGGTAGGCACAGGAAAAGAGGCAGTCCTAAACAGAGGTGCTTTCTTTGTCTCCAGAGAGGATGCACAGCAGCCTGGTCAGCTATGGCATTCTCTTTTCTGATCTGCCTTATAGGCTGCCTCTTGAGTAGTGGGGTGTTCTGATTTTTAACAGTCATGGCTCACTACCTGAAGGGCTAGGGTGGCAAAAAAGGTAAGAGCAGTGGCAGTGTGGTATGTGGATGGACTACCATTCTCTTTGGGCCTCAGGCTTACCATCTGTAAAATGAGGGGGCTGAGCCAGATGCTCTCTGAGGACTCCTCTACTTTTATCATTCTGCTTCCGAGGGGGAGCAAGATGGAAATGAAAATGGAACATAGAAAGGAAGAGGCAGAATGTGGGCAGGTGACAGGTGAAAAGGAAGGAAGGAAAAAAGGGCAAAGAAGATGAATTGAAATGTAAATTTGTACATTTAGTTTCTCTCCTAAAACCTGCAAAAATGAGCCAGACAATAATAAAGGAGACAAATTAAAATTTTGGAAGCTGGAAAGCTGATTGGCATAGTTGCAACTGACATAGCAGACCCAAGAAAGCAGAATCCTTAATGAAGAAGGGGAATGATGAGAACCCAGATGTTTCATAACTCACAAAAGGCCTAAGAATGGGGAGGTGCATCTGAAGGTGGGTGTGAAGGTAGATCTGATAATTGGTTGAAATCTGTTAAGAAATAATTATGATTTCCATGTCAGAGATGACTCTTTCACTGACAACAAAGCAAAAAGAAATGCAGGGACTCAGATAAGAGGAGTAAAGAAAACACGTCTATGAAAAGACACTTAAAGGCAATAAAGGTTTGTTTTATTGCATTTCAATCTATTGTGCTTTACAGATATTGCATTTTTTATGAATGAAGGGTTTGTGGCAACCCTGCATCATGCAAGTCTATCAGCATCTTTTTCCCAACAGCATTTTCTCACTTCATGTGTGTGTAACATTTTCATAATTCTTGCAGTATTTCCAGCTTTTTCATTATTATTATATTTGTTATGGTGATCTGTGATTAGTAACATCTGGAATCTCTGATGTTACTATTGTAATTGTTTGGGGTGCCACAAACTGTGCCTATATAAGTTGCCGAGCTTAATCAATAGATGTGTGTGCTCTGACTGCTCCACCAACCAGCCATTCCCCTGTCCTCTCCCTCTCCTCAATCCTCCTATTCCTTGAGACAGAGCAATATTGAGATTAGGCCAGTTAATAACCCTAAAATGGCCTCTAAGTATTCAAGTGAAAGGAAGAGTTGCACATCTCTCACTTGAAATCAAAAGCTATGAATTAAGTTCAGTGTGAAAGGCATGTTAAAAGCCAAGACAGGCCAAAAACTAGGCTTCTTGTACCAGTTAGCTAAGTTGTAAACACAAAGAAAAGGTTCTAGAAGGAAATCAAGAGTGCTATTGCAGTAAATACCTGAGTGATAAGAAAGTGAAACAGTTCTATTGCTGATATGGAGAAAGTTTTAGTGGTCTGGATAATAGATCAAACCAGCCACAACATTCCCTTAAGCCAAATCCTAGCCCAGAGAAAGACCCTAACTCTTTCCAGTTCTATGAAGGCTGAGAGATGAGGAAGCTGCAGAAGAAAAGTTTGAAGCTAGCAGAGGTTGGTTCATGAGGTTTATGGAGAGAAGCCATATCCATAACATAAAAGAACAAAGTGAAGCAGTAAGTGCTGGTATAGAAGCTGAAGAAACTTATCCAGAAGATCTAGCTAAGATAATTAGCTAGGAGGTTATACTAATAGATTTTCAATGTAGACAAAACAGCCTTATGCTGGAAGAATATACCATCTAGGACTTTCACAGCTAGAAAGGAGAAGTCAATGCTTGGCTTCAAAGCTTCAAAGGATGGGTGGACTCTCTTGTTAGGGTTTAATGCAGCTGGTTGAAGCCATTGCTCATTTACCATTCTGAAAATCCAAGGGCCCTTAAGAATATGCTATATCTACTCTTCCTATAGAGTATAAATGGAACAATAAAGCCTGGATGACAGCTTATCTGTTTAAGACATGGTTTACTAAAAATTTTAAGCTCACTGTTGAGACGTACTGCTCAGAAAAAAATATTACTTTTAAGATATTACTGCTCGCTGTGGGGGGAGAAAAGATGGCACATGTAACTCCAGGTTGGCAGGGGCAAGGGGGATATGTTCTCAGCCTGGGGCAAATAAACCTTTGAAGCCACAATCAGTCAATGGGAGAAATAAAGTGGGAGAAACCCGTTTATTGCTTACAAGCAGTCATCTACTCCATGTCTCTTATAACCTGGCTGCAAAAAGGCCCCACCAAAGCTCTCTGACCTGGTGCATGCTCGCTCTCCACCCCTGGGAAACACCTACTGATATGGAGATGTACTAAGGCCAGGCAAGAGATTCTGGAAATATTGCAATTTTACCCATAGTGGAGTAGGAAGGCAAGATGGAAACATCCTCCCATACACACATCAAAGAAGCAAGTTTCTGTTGTAACTACAGAAAATACAACTAAACCTGAAAATGACTTGAAGACTGTAGAACAGACCACCTACACCTGGTGAAGAGAAGACCGCAAAGAAAAGGATAAAGTGGCAGAGCCACGACTGAGTGAGACCCAAGCCCTTTCCCCATCCCAGCCCACAGGCAGGAGGAAGAGGAATGGAGCACGGAGGGGATAGGCACTCAGGAATTCTGCACACCTGGCTCTAGAGATCTGCTCTGGGAGCACGAGTCCACATTACACTGGGTTTTGGAGATTAGTGGGTCTGGACACCAAGGACAGTTGGAAAAATCTGAGAGATTGAGACTCATTCTGCTTGTAGGGGACAGGCAAGCTCTGCTGGCCCTGCTGAGACCCAATACAGAGGCATTAGTTTGAAAGATGTGCCAGCAGTGGGAGGGATGCCAGAAGGGCAAGAGTTGGGTAGAGCTCCCTCCAAAGGAGAAAGGGCAGGTGGACATTCCTTCCCAGCCCTCCCTCAGCCCAACAGGTTGGGCACTCTTGGGAGCCCCAGATGCTCCATCTGCCTCACTAGCAGCTTATCCCTGAGGCACTTCCCTGCGCACTGCTGGCATGCCAACCCACTTGGCCCAGCAGTGTCAGCTTTGCTGCCTGGCAGGTAGGGGGAGGATCTCCCAGTTTTCTTAGCCCTGTTTCATCCCAACTGGCACCTGCAGGAGCCAGGTCCAAGAGCTCCTTCCTCCCCATGGTGGGCAAGCCTGGTGCTGTACTCCTCCCCATGGCTGGAGGCACCCACATGACTCACTGCTGCAGTTCGCCCTGCCACCTTGTGACTTGCTGCACCCATGTGCCTGCCCCAGAGCCAAGCAACCACATGGCCCACCCTGTAGCCCCACCATTGCTATAGGGCAGGCAGAGTGTGGCCCCATCCAAAATGATCCCAGCAGAAGCCTCTGCTCTGATAACAAAGGGCTCGCTGAAACACACTGCTGGCCACAGAGGACTGAGACCACTGCTGGCAGAGACAGAAAGGTGGCCCTGTCCATTGCCTACCAACAGCAACTGGGGGTCAACTGCAAAGGAGAACCAGGCACTGAAGAGTAAAGTTTTAAGCTTCTGGGCACCACAGGATGCCTTCTTTATAAAGCCATTACTCTCTGGACCAGGAAGCATACCAGATTCATCTAATACAAAGGAAAAAACACAGAAATACTGACAAAATGGGAAGGAAGACAAATGTGTTCCAAAGAAAACTACAGGATAACACATGAGAAAGAGGACTAATAAATAAGAGACCACCAGTCTTGATAAAAATTTCAAAGTAAAAATCATAAATATGCTCACTGAAGATCTCATGGAGGTCTTCAACAAAGAGAGAAAAAAGCTTAAAAAGAGCCCCTCACAGCTGAGGAATACAGTAACTGAAATGAAATACACAGTGGAGGGAATGAATAATAGGCTGCTCCAAATAGATGAGATTATCAATGAGATGGAAATTAGAGAACAGGAACACAACAAAGCTGAGGAACAGAGAGCAAAAACAATTTATAGGAATGAAAGAAGGATAAGAGGGCTGTGTGACCAATCCAAATGAAACAATATTCGTGTAATAGGGGTACCACCAGAAGGAGAAGAGAGAGACAAGGGATAAGAGTCTCTTTGAGGAAATAATTGTTGAAAACTTTCCCAATTTGGGGAAGGAAACAGACACCTGGGTCATGGAAATACAGAGATCCCCTAACAAAAGGAACCCCAGGAAGACAACACCAAGTCATATAATAATTAAAATGCCAAAGATTAAGGATAAGGAGAGAGTACTGAAAGCAGCCAGAGAGAGAAGAAGGACTACTTACAAGGGAAA